GTCGAGCGATCGTTTGTCAAAAAATCCTCGTTCATTTTCATATACGACTGCGGTTAAGGTCCGAGTTGCGGAAGAACTTTTTGAAAATATGCAAATTTTCAGTTCATTAAAAATTAAAAGTATTGCTATTTTTATCTCGCACGTGCATAGAGAATATCTCTGCAAAGTTTCAGCTTTCTATGTTGCTTGGTTCGCGAAATCGTTTCCCGCTAACATATTTCTTTGGAGGTCCCGTACACGAGGCCTAGGCGCGTATGGAGAAAGATCTTAAAACGGGGGGATGACACACTTTCAGAGCTTCAGTCTCCCAGCTTTCCCGGTTGCTGAGATGAAAGTGGGTGACTAAATGCACTCGCTTTCCGAGAACACACACACACACACACACTGCCTCTCGACAGCGCTGCACAGCAAAAACGCATAAAAATACATAGGTAAGCAGTCTGTGTTTCATCTCGTAGCTGTGGACCAAACGAGAGGCGGGAGTAGGACTGCGAGTCATCAGTGCAGCCTTCCCTACATTATGCACAGAACAAGCCGATTTGCTTAATGGCTGAATGAAGAGCGGCTTCTAAGAAGGAATAATTGGCCAGCGCACTAAATGGTGCGAAGATGGGATTTTTGCAAGTTCCCTATAGTCTTTTTTTTTGCTAACGGCACTATTTTTCCGGGAGATGCTTCTAGCCAAAAGAGTTGAGACTGGTCACGATGACTGTGAGAAAACATTCCCTTGAAACTTCAGCTTTCTAGCATTTCTGGTTCTCGAGTTAACAATTTACCAGCAAAAAACTTTCACGGGGCCGTACCGTGTGAGCAGGTCTGTCCATTTAGGGGAAGAGGCATGCAGATTAAATTCCTAAAGTTCAACCGTGTAACTTTTGTATGTTTCAAGATGAAAAATCGATGCAGACAAATACACAGACACATACACAGACAATCCCTCGTTACAATATGCGTTTTTGCACTGCACAGATGTAAAAAGCGCATAAAAAGCAGGAGTGCTGGGAGAGAAGAGATAAGAGTTTGTAATGAGGCATACAAAAAGTATTAATGAAAAATATCTAAGTTCGCTAAGATAATGAATGCGGTTGCACCAGAAACTGTTCTTAGTAATCACAGCCAAAGATGAGAGATAGCGCGGTAAAATGACCAGGAGAGAGGGGTCAAAAATGCGACAGAATAAGTCAAGGGCCGTTGCAGTCGGCAAGGCTGCTTGCTGTTGTTTAAGTACTGCCCGAAAATTGGTGATCTCCCAACACGCAGCAGCAACTTATCGAAACGGCTGAAGCCCTACCAAGCGCTTTTGTTGGCGGAATCGCTGAGGTGGTATTCTATCAAGAGAAGGAACGAACGCGTCAAGATCGCTAGCAGGCTAATTACCTGACGATGTAGCATCGGTTAAAGCAATTGGAAAAGAAATAAGCTATTTAGCTGGAGAACCAGCGAAATGAACTACGCCTGCTTCAAGTACTACAAGTAGGTTAAGAGACTGGACCGGAAGAAAAACCCTTACGCGGGAAAAAATAAATGGTCAACGCAGAGTTTTGTCGCTAGTGGCACGGTTTTTTTCCGGCAGATGCTTCTAGCTAAGAGAATTGAAACTGGCCGATAGGACTGTCGGAAATATTCCATCAAAATTTCAGCATTCTAGCTTTTCAGTTTCCTAAGTTAGCAGCTTACCCGCCAAAAACTTGACGGGCCTATATGTGGGGATCACATGAGTAAAAGCGCCCATTTTGGGGACTGAGGTTGTATGTGCATGTAGATTAATTTCCCAAAGTTTCTGCCCTGTAGCTTTTATAGGTCTCGAGATGAAAAATTGGTACAGATGCACACACAGGCCCACACAGACAAGTCCTCGACAGTATGCGTTTTTGCATTGCACAAATGCAAAAAACGCATAAAAAGAACAAATTCCTCCATGCATCCATCTTGAGATTACTTTTACTAAGAGCAACCACACGCTGGTAACAACGAAACAATTATTGTATTTGGACGGATTCCAAAGAGGCTGGGTAGGAGGACAAGGGCAAGGGGCAGCCCGGGTGTATTAACTTGGGTCTTTTTGGGATGGGAAGGAGGTAGTAGCAGCGAATAGAGACTGGAATACTGTCAGGGAAGGAGGTCTTGCTTGGACATAGATAGGTATTGGGTAAAGGGACAGGGATTACGAATTACATGTGTTAACGATGCTAAGCAAAAAACTAGATGCTAAGGTGTCAGCTAATAAAATCTCACCAAATGAAATAAATCGCCAGCGCACCGACTGCCGGTACGAAGATGCGTTTTTTGCATAGTTTCCCACAGATTTTTGTCGATAACTTTTTCAAGCAGGTGCTTCTAGCTAAAGGAATTGAGATTGGCCGCCAAGACCATAAGGAAAAATCCCCTTAAAGTTCCAGTCTTCTAGCTTTTCAGGTATCCAAGTTAGCAACTTACCCGAGAAAACTTTGGTGGGCCCGTACATGGGTACCACGCTGGCAAGAGCACCTATTTTGGAGATGGGGGCTTTAAGGGGATTTTTCCTTTAAGGGGATTCGATAATCGAGGTTGCGGAGACAGCCGCGGCATGCTTCTTTGGATTCTTCAGCGACTGCTCCAAGACACAGTGCTCAGTCCAATAGCAGTCTTGACGGGAGTGCGCTTTTGAATAATCCTCCAACAATTTGTGTCTCGAGCATTCTTTTAAAGAATTCCTTTGTGCATAATTGTACATTTTATTGATCGTCTTGTGCTGATAAATCGCTAACCTAATTTACTGCTCGAGCTACTTAAGTATCAACATTCCATTCGCTCGCTCATATTTTGTTATAATTTTTTCAAGTCCGTTTCAGTTAAACTTGTTGTCGGTTCGTTTCAAAGATTGTCAAACAAAGCAATATTAAACTTTTAATCTGGGTAAGTGATTGAGAGAAATTGTTTATTAATTTTCGTTCGTTCATCGCAGAATTGATTTTGCACTGTGATAACTGATTTTACGTTATGGTATTGCATTTGGGTCGGGAATATCTTCGGTACTAACCACACTGGTTGTTAAGTTGAATGTGTGTTAAAAAATCTGGAAAGGTACACCCACAAACACAAACAGACCACCCACACATAGTCAAATTTTCAATAGAAAATATGTGCATTTTATTGACAGCGCAGAAAACACATAAAAACCTACTGCCTCATTTTTTTGGAGTGAGAACTGAAGTCACTCGACGGGCAGACAAACTCAAAGGTAAGT